TAACAGCCTTTCAATTCAAAAGTTCTATAGCTTTTCTTTTATTAAAAGAAAACAAACTTTATGATTAACAGTAGTACCGGTATCTAAGATTATGCTTTCGCTGTAGATAGAATTGCTAGAGAAGAGACTTCTTAGTTCTTACTTGTCCAAATCATCAGAAGTTTGTACTACAATAATTAAAGAGCACAATAAACATGAGAACTTAGTTTGTTGAGACTTCGTCTCTGAACAACCCGACTAGCTAACCCAAGAAATAAAGCTACTTAGAATCGACTGAAACTTGTTTCATTGGAAGATGGGTGGAGTAAAAACTAAAAACTTGTTAATAGGGAGCTGGGTCAGCCGCTTGCTGGCCAAATTCTTAACTTAATTGGCAGTATAAGTTGATGGGTAACAATATTCGGTTCTTACTACTTTACTACTTGTAGGATCGCATCCTCAAGTAAAGAGAAATGGGAAATCAATAACAAACCTAATCAGATTTTTTTTTCTCTCAGAGATGATTAACTGTGACAATCGGCAAGGGGTTTTAGTGGGTTGGGTTAAGTGGAATGTAGGGCTGCAACTTGGGCTGGGTTGGCCCGAACCCAACCCGAAAAAGTCGAGTTGGGTTGGGCCGGGTTGATGATCAGGTTAGGGTTGAAATTCTTAAATCTGACCTTAGTTCAGGTTGGTTAGGGTTGATCCCTTAGGCAGCCCGACCCAAGCCCCTATAGTACTAGACTACTAGTCTACTAGTCTACTACATGTATATATAACATACACTGATTTATTTAAATGCATGATAGTTGTATAACCCCCCTACATACTATCATGCCTTTCTTTAAGTTATTCATAGGTACTTGACTAATCGTTTTTTTCTTTTGTCTTGTAATTTTTATGTGTGACCTATGAATTATAATTTTTATTCATAGATTCAAATTATTTGCTTGATCCTATGAATTGTTATTAGTGATTGTATTTCCATAATTTTATGTTTTATTATTGTTGATTTCATGAATTTTTATTTTTGAGAAAAATTCTATCATAAGTCATAACTCGTGATAAATAAATACTTATTTTTCTACTAGATTTTAAGGGACGGAAAGGTTGGGTTGGGCCCAACCCGAAGTTAACAACGGGTTGGGTCAGGTGGGGTTAGGGTTGAAGGAATTAGTTAGGGTTAGGGTTAGGATTGAGTAGGTCAGGTTGAAGGTCAAGTTAGGGTTGGGGGTTTAGAACATCAGGTTGAGCTAAGGTTGGCCTCAACCCGATCTAACCCGGCCCAACTTGCAGCCCTAGTGGCATGCAATTCACCTTGACCCGACCCAAAAATTACTCCATTTCATACTTTTCAATACGTATGATACATGGCTTCATTCTCAAAGGGCAAATGGAAATGAGTCACTTACTTTTGCATTTCAGAACTCTAAAGGGCCTGACCAAGTTTTTTCAGGATATTAGGGCCCGTTTGAGACGCAACTGACTGGGCAACAGATTTTTTTAAAGAAAAAGTAAAGAAAAACAAAGACCCCCAAACCTTAACAACCGGATATTGATGGTCCAATAAGCAATGGGCCTAAACTGTATACTTACCACAACTTTGGGCATAGTTTGCATCCAACAAACTGGTCTATTTGGCCCCATAAAGTAGGGATATATATAGGGACTGCGTTTGTGACTTGGTGTCAAACCTGAGTGCGACTGCTTATTAATCAATTCTTTAAAGGTAGTGTTGAAACACCAAGCCCCCCACTCCATCCCCAGATGGCTTGAAGCTTAGGAATCCTAATCTGCTGTACTACAAAAACATTTAGTGACTGACTGGTGTTTCATTGAAACTTGAAAGTGTATAATCATCAGTTTGAAAAGAGTATACAGTATAAATACAATATATATGGTATTGCACTTTCCAAAGACCTGTAAATTTATTTTTACTCTTTCCAAACTGAGCTTAATGACATGTAAATAAAAGAATAACTGAGACCAGGACATGGTATTACTATTAACAAGGACACAGTACCCATTTATTTAAAAACAATAAATACATGTTAGAATTCATTTACTTTTTTTTTTCACTTTCCAAACCCTAAGAATCAGCCAAGAAATTTATTATTCCTAGATTATCTTTAACTTTGTTGATAATTATTCATCATTAAGGAGAATTTATTGTAAAATAAAGGATTACTTGAGACATTAAAATTTTGGCTGTTTATTGTGCCCTAAAAAGTTGAACTTAATTTAGAAATTAATAAGTTGTAGACTTGTAGGATGATGAATTTATTGCTATAAAAAATGGTAAAATATAAAAACCTCCCTGAAATTTATGACAATTATAATGACCTCCCCTGAGGATTTATTTTACCAAAAACTTCCACTGTAGTTTCACAAAAACCTGCAGTTACCTCCCTTTCATCTTTGTCCCAGTAATGAAGACTTCAAAGTTATGAAATTACTGTTACTATTTATTAGGGCATCTTTCAATATAATTCAAATTATCAGATTTGCCCTTCTAGACTTCACTAGACCTAATGTTTTTATAGAGTAAAATTGTTTTGTTCTTTTCAATCTAAGTTGGGGATTTTTTTTAATTAAAAGTGAAAATTTCTTTTGGGGGTATTTTAATAAATTTCCATCTAATTTGATAGATATAAGGGTAAAATGAATATTTCCGAAAACCTAATGCATTTGACCAACATTTTCCGTCCAAGATAATAATAAAAGAGAGGTAACTGCAGGTTTTTTCAACACTACAGAGGATGTTTTTGTGAAGATGAAACCTCAGGAGAGAGTTTTTCATTTTACCCAAAAAAATGCCCTGTATGCACTAACACAATCCAACCACCCGCCCAAACCATCAATATAAGAGCATCCTACCAATTTTTAATTTTCTTTATTTTAACATTGAAGAGATTCGATTCTCAATCTTCCTTGAGAAAAAGGAGAGACAGGAAGAAAAAAAAAAAAAAAAGTAAAAGTTTATTCTTGTTACCCATATTCAGTTACTTGAGTAATTCCTATTTCTATAGGAAACGATACATTGTTGCAAGGATTTTATTTCATATATGTTTTTTTAAATGCTTTAGTTGTAAAAAGGGAAAAAAATCCAATCGACCTCATGTAATTACTGCATTAATAGTTAGCTATAAGCAGTATCATTTCTTTGATATCAAAGGAGTACACTTTCAAGAGTGTATAAATGTAGGTGGTGTATTATATTTATGCCAAAATCTGTATTTACATGAATGAAGGTGTTTTCTTATTTGGGATCTAGCAATGGTCCCACTAAGGCACTAACACATAAGAATGGCAACGGGGCAGGTTTGGGGTGGGGATCATACTCCCTATCCCCAATCTTAATTTTGAAACAAATCCTTATTCTCGGTCGTGATCCCTAGACCCTCCATCCCCAATCAGGGTCAGGTTGGGGCAGGATGGGTCATTCCCCATCCCCATCTGTTCCTGTCCCCACCACCAATGTATCTCCATCTTGAATCCCTTTTGGTCAGGAAAGCTAAATATAGGACGGGAATGGGAAAAATTGCCGTCTCTACTAATACATAACCAACAGATAAAAAGGCTATTTCTACAACCTGAAATGATGGAAACAAATTCTTCTATGTTGTTTATCTTTTTTTCTCTTTGGAGTTCAAATCAGAGTCTGGATCTCCTACCCACATCCTTGCCCACGTCACCAATTTTGGACACATGTCCAATAACATGTGCCTTTTCTTCACATGTGCAGAATTGCATGTGAAGTAAAGAGGGTGTAATGGGACTGACGTTAAGTCCACCCTGTCAAAACCCAGATTTCACCCATTAACCCAACTAATATTTTTACCTAAAAAAATTTCTTTCCCCTTCCCAATAACCCTAATAGTGTTTCATTCTCTCCATTCATTTTTTTACAGGTACTGTTCCAATAAACTTCACAAGCAACCGAGAACCAGCAACCAGCAACCGACAACCAACAACCAACAACCGGCGATGTGTTCACCGGCATCTTATTCTCTCCATACTCCACCGATTAACCTTCTTTTTCTATTCTCCACAATGTCCTATTCCAAGAGATTCCACCGGCATCTGGCATCCAGCAATCGAGGACGTGCTCACTGACATCCTATTCTATGCATACTCCTCCATCGCTTAAACTTGTTTTTCTTATCTCCAACAGCAGTGTGTCCTCTTCCCAAATACAAGAAGAAAACTCCGATGGTTAATCAACTTCAAATGGTATGTGAGTTTCTGTTTTTTTTATTCTTCTTCAGCTCTAATAGAAAATTGGAAATATTTATTTATTCTTGACTATGACCTAAAAGAGCTTAGGAAGACGATTCTTTAATAAAATATTTGTTTACTCTCCATTATGACATAGAAGAGCTTAACATTAAAGACTATTTATTTAATCTTTAATAAAATATTTGATGATTGTTTAAAAAAACTAATGTTATGGGGGTTTCAATTTTGAACTTAATAAAATATTTGATTCATTAATTATTGTATCTAGTTTTAGTTTTATGCATGCGTAAATATATTTGAAATTTTGGGTGGACAGAATACATATTTACTTTAATTTTCCCCTTTATTCATGGGCATTCTTTAATATTTTTTATTAAAATTCTTATAATATAGGAATCAAGGTTTGTGGTCCCCTCTATTACAATAATTATTCATCTCTATGCTCACCAATTTTTAATCTTTTACTTAGAAAGAGAAACTAATCCAAATAGAAGTTTTGGTTCACTAGGCCAAACACACTCTAATTTATTCCAGTAAGATTCCAATTTATGGTGGATAGCTTGCCTTTCTATATTATGTACCAAACAATTTATATTATTTGGCCCCTTTATATGTCCCAAGTCAACATTGGACAATATGAGATTAAAGACAATACAATACAGAAATGACCCCTTCACATATGCTGTTCAATGTTAATCATGAAATTTAGATTCCAAAGTTTGTTTGGATGGTATCAAAAAGTCCTAATCCAATTGGAGCTGATTTCCAAGTTAAGACGTTACTTGAGAAGAAAGACAAATCTTATTTTATAAATAATATTTGAAATGGAAAAAAAAACTCGCTCTGAAAAGAGAGAAACACATGACCATTTGAAAATTGATTTTCTAGTTTAAAAAATAACAAAAAAAAAAAACCTACAAATATAGTGGTTTCAAGAGCAAGTTAAGTATCATTACACAAGACAACCTTTAAACACATCAAGGTTACACAAAAAAAAAGAACAAAGTCAAGAGCGTCATTCTTCGAGTGTGTCCTTGTGCTCATTGTATCCCATCCACTTTTGCTTCCAATGCCATAAACTTTGGTTTCCATTGCTTTTGCTTCCATCAAGTTAGCTTGTCGTGCATTGATGCACATTCCTCTCAAGTCCCAAAGATGCACATTCCTCTTCAATTGACAGCTAATAACAAGAAAGGAAATAAGACAATGAACCCTTTGTGAGATAAGGTCATCACAGATTAAAGTATCTTCACCTATATTGTAACTTGTAAGCAAATATTGATCAAGTTTGATATGGCAGAATAAAAGAAAGAATGGAAGATTTAAGATTTTAACAAGCAGAATTTCTTGAACGTACATGTGCCAAATTCATTATTTCTACACTATTGGAATTTTTTAATGTGCATGTGCCAAATTCATTTTAAATTGAAACATGATTAATCTAGTTGAACATCCCTTGTTAAGACCAGAACAATCCAAGATGCATCTCCAAATAAGCTTCAGTAATTAATAATTACTTCCTATTAGCATGAGGTTGGTTTTTTATGTAAACTCTCCATGGATGTAAAACTAAAGAAGATGCAACTCTCCCTCAAGTTTTATAAAGAATTAAGTTCCTTTTACCAATAAGTGTATCAATTAAATTAACTTAATAGTAATCCAATAGGACCATAGGATCATCAAGATGGCCTTAGCAAGTTGAGGAAAATGAAAATGAATTCCAATGTGGATTGTATCCTCAAGCAACTAAACAAATATCATAAGTCATCTTTCTTTTATTGTCATCTAAAGAAAACTCATTGAGTTCTCAGCCCCAGACTAAACATTGTCTTGATATCCCTGATTTGGCTACGTCATCATCAAACTCATTGGCACTCCTTAGAATCCATCTGAACGAGCATATCAGATTTCTCCCCAATAACTAAGCTTCACTAACCATAAACCTGAATTTCCAAGGCACTACTTTTGTATACAAGTACACAACCAAGAGATGAAAATTTGACTACAACTCCCCTCAACGATTAAATTTCTCCAATTGTTCACTACTACTAGTTATAAATCATTCAACCATAATCAACTAAACTAACAACAAAAATGAAATAACTAGCATGTCAACATAAAACATTGAAGAGAGAGAGAGAGAGAGTCACAAAGGTGTTGAGCTGCCTTATGAAGCTTGAACTCCTTATGAAGTAATTAGGAAGCAAGTCTTGGGAAAACGTAGTGACAGCCCATATAATAAAACTCTTTGCTCCAACTCCACAAAATGGATCAGTTGTAGGATTTCGACCATATCGTAGCTTTAAGTCCTGTATTTGGAATATTGTGCAATAATACAAGAAAACCATCAATATGTGAAAAAAAAATAATATGAGAATAAATTGAAGAGATTACTATGCCTAGCCAGAAGAAAACAAAAAATAAGAGAATCAAATAAAACAGAGCATAACTACCGATGAGAAGAACTTGATTGAAAGAACTATAAGAAAATAATGCTCAATTTTTTCTTGTATTGGTTGAGGTTACTTAACCACCAGTGTATCGGTGAGCACATCCTCGATTGTCGGTTGCTAGTTGCCAGATGCCAGATGTAGGTGGAGTCTCTTGGAACAGGACGTTATGGAATAGAAGAAGGTTAACCAATGGAGTACAAAGAGAATAAGATGCTGGTTGCCTGTGAAGTTACTTGGAACAGTACGCTGTAGAGAATGAATGGGGAGAACAAGACATTATTAGGGTTCTTGGGAAGGAGACACACTACTATTGGAGATAAGAAAAACAAAGCTAAGCGATGGAGGAGTATGCATAGAATAGGATGTCGGTGAGCATGTCCTCGATTGTTGGATGCCGGATGTAGGTGGAATCTCTTGAAACAGGATGTTGTGGAGAATAAAAGAAGAAGGTTAACCGATGGAGTACGGAGAGAATAAGATGTCGGTGAGCATGTCGCTGGTTGCCGGTTGTTGGTTTCCGATTGCCTGTTGCTTGTGAGTTTCTTGGAACAGTACCTGTAAAGAATGAAACACTATTAGGGTTGTTGGGAAAGGGGAAAATAATTTTTTTAGGTAAAAATATTAGTTGGATTAATGGGTGAAATCTGAGTTTTGACAAGATAAGTCCGTCCCATTACATCCTCTTTACTTCACATGCACTTCTGCACATGTGAAGAAGAGGCACATGTTATTGGACACATGTCCAAAATTGGTGACGTGGGCAGGAGATCCGGACTCTTCAAATCAGCCCCCCACAATGTCACACAGCACATCCCTGTCGTGTATTTCAAACATCTCTTGATGATGAGATCATCATCTCTGGTATCATTATTGAGAGAAGTTTCTAATACACGGCAGGGATGTGCTGTGGGACGTTGTGGGGGACAATCTTGTGGGGAACTAATTTGATCTCTTCTCTTTGAAAGTGAATCCTACATTTCATCAGCCATATATACCTTTAGCGACGAAAATGGAAAAGCCACATGAGAATTCCCTGTTGAAAGTAACAATGAATATTGGAGAATGCCAGGATGGGGTTCAAATCAGGTAGCAAAAGCAAAAAACAAAATCATAAAAAAAGGTGGATTAGCACAAATGATTAAACAAATATAGGGGATATAAAATAAAAAATATTTGGGCCCGAGGTCAATTTCAAAAAAATAAGTTAAATAAGGAAGTTGTTCAGTTAAGCGATATGATATCGTTTTATTAACAAATCAAGAAAGTTGAGAGAGGTTGAAACCCTATGACTTGAGATATACTCCACATTACATTTGGTCTTAAAGTAACACATCAATTAAGTAAGGTTTGTTAAATATGGTCCATAGCCATACCGAAAGTGATTAGAAACCAAGGGGGATTGATTGTGTCTAGACCTCATGTCTTTATTGATTTTGCTTCATCTTTCCACTTCAATCCCATCGAAGAGAAGACTGTGACTAAGATGGAAACCCTTCCTGCAATTCCCCCTCAATTCATGACCCACACACTATTTATGAGAAAATAGAGAGAAGACGGTGAACCTCTATTCTGCTATGTGAGATGTGTATTGATAGAATTTATAGTGATAGAGATGATCAATATATAACTCCAACTCTGTTACAACACATCAGCAATCCATACCATACGTACGGTTAACAGCGACTAACGTGTTCACCCATGAATATGTTATGTAGCCCATTGTACACACATCCTGTTTGTAGCAAATTATTTGATGTTTAATTGAAAATAAACGAATAAAGAGAATAACTTGAGGGGAACGAAATCTTCTTAGTGTAAACCAAGTGGGAAGGTTGGTGCAATAGATAAATGCAGTTTCTTTTCTTTGTTTATTTTATGTTGCTTATATTTTGCAGTAGGGGAGACTTGAGAAGATCCAAACTTACTTGTTATTTCTCAACAGTTCGTAAGTAGTTAGATGTTCCTATTATGACAATTACTTGGTTGACAGTGTGACGCATCATCCATCAAGGATGCAAGAGAAAGAAAAGGTCAAGATCTACTGCATCTGCATGTTTTTAGCGGGGGATTCCAGGGAGGCAAGGATCAAAATATCACCGGTACTCACCATTTTTTTTATTTTGTATGCATCGTTCCGGGACCCTTCCGATACGCCCCTACGGTGGGTGTATCGGGGGTCTGACCGGTTCAGGGGATGGAAGGGTCTTAGACCTGCTCCCTTGGACCAGCTTTGAAAAAAAAAGGTAAAAAAACGAGTATTGAAATGCCCGATACACCCCTACCGGCGTATCGATATTTTGAACCTTGTTTCGGAGGTAGTGAGATACTCAAGGGTATAATGGGTATTCTCCACTTTCACCTGCAATGAGGTATTCTCTACTTTCTGAACAAGTTCAAGTTCATTAATTGACATTGTGGGTGAATGAAATTTAGGCCCTGTTTGATGATTAAGTACTTGTTAAAACAAGTTCACAAGTACTTCTTAGAAGTACTTATTTTAACAGCCCTTTAGGCTGTTTGGTAATCCACTTTTCAAATCACTTATTATATTTTTTAGTACTTATTGGGGTGAGAATGTTTGGTAAGCTACTTTCCCCATAAATGCTTATATTTATTCAAATGACAATTTTAACCCTCGCTTCACTCATACATATATACAATACTTTATTGGGGTGAGAATGTTTGGTAAGCTACTTTCCCCATAAATGCTTATATTTATTCAAATGACAATTTTAACCCTCGCTTCACTCATACATATATACAATACTTTTCACATGTTATACTACATATTTCAACTGCGAGCCCACGTGGGTTGCCATGTGGATCTAATTAATAATAATAATAATAATAATAATAATAATAATAATAATTAATAAATAAATAAATACTGGTACGCATGTCTTTCGAAGAAAGAAAAGAGGCTAATAATTCCTGCCATTTTTTTGTATCATCTATAAAACACGTACTCAGTACTCAGTAGTCACTTTAAGAACTATCTAAGCATGGAGAAAGTGATGGAAGCCCTCTGATGTCGACGAGATCAATCCCATGGAAACCAATCTCATCAAAATGAGCATCAACATGGACGCCATGTTTCAGTATCATCTCCACCAACTCCTTCTATCTGTCGGTGCTAATGTCCCCACCAAACCCCCTCACGAAGCACTTCCCCAACAATCTAATCCTGCCAGTGGTGCACCCTTCCACCATGGGGTTACAAAACTGATCCGTCATGGATAGAGGCAATATCAGATTGTTGGCATATTGCAGCTCTTATCTTGTCCTCTTCACCCCATCAAACACAGGCTGGCTCAATATCAACCCACAAAACTTCACTGGCTCAAGGTCTAGTCCCAACAGCTTTTCAGGCTTTCAGTCGTTCTTCCTCTGAAGTGTTTTCGGAACTCGGGAGTAGGAGAGAGAGAGAGAGAGAGAGTTACAGAATAGCAAAGTAGTGTAAGGGTGTATGGGCGTAAGTGGATTCTGGAAGGGAAGCAGGAACGAGATCAAGCAAAGAGGGACCGAGCATGAAGTGGATTTGAGGGGAAGAAGATGGTGAACAATGTTTTTTGGGTGTAGGAGTATTTTAGGCATTATAAAAATTTATTAGGGACTGATTCGTCCTATTTTTTTAAGAAGTACTTAAAAAACAACCAACTTGAAGCCACTTTTTCAAAGAAGTACTTCTTCCCCACTTTTTTATCAAACACCCATAAGTACTTAAAAACCACTTAATGTGTGGTCCCATGTCTTAAAATAAGTACTTTTAAGTGTTCTCAAACAAAGCCTTACTATGGCCCCCATTTGGTTCGTAATCCCATTCCCATTCCTGTTGGGATGACATTCCCCCATTTGAGGGAATGGTCTTTCCCTGTCCTTCCCTTGGGAATGAAATCCTATTCCTGCTGATTTTAATTCCCATTATCATTCTTGTTTGAACCAAACAATGGGAATGGACCATTCCGATTCCAGTTCCAAAGGATTTCGATTCCAATTCTGACTGCGAATCAAACGGACCCTAAAATGCATCCATTCATGGTTTGAATAACTAGAGTTGTGCTTCCCGTAGCACGATATGACCTAACACAACCAATTGTATTGTAATTTTTGTAATTTCATTTTATTATTTCATATAAAAACAGTTGTATACATCAAAATTCATATAAAATAAAAATTTAAGATTTTTTTTTTCAATTTTTTGTCTATTTTGTTAATTTATTTTGAAATTTTCATTATTTTATTTTCTTTTTTTTTAAACATGCCCTCTCATGTCTTGGGTTCATGCCATGGACCGAGCTGGACCTGACCTCTTAAGTATCCCAAAGGAGGCAAGCATGGCCCAATTTACACCTCTATGAATAACTAAGAGAATAAATTTGCAAAACGACATAAATAAACATGACTAGTGCATAAATTGTTATGTTGTTTCAATGCCCTGTTCCTTCTACTCTGAGAAAGAAATTGGAAAGAAAAGGTTAAAAACGGTTTCTCCCATAAAACATGCAAAAGATAATTTTGAAATTGTAATATGTTCAAGGCACACATGAGATCACACACTCCAATTGATGGAATGTTAACAATTGGACTTTGTTGATTTCTGAAAGTACAATTGTCACAATTGAAAGTTGGGGCCCTTAATGTCACACACTACCCCAAGTACAAGATACCTCCTGGTAATTCCCCTTCCCTCCTTTCCCTTTTTTTGATGCACCAGTTATTATGCACATGCCTTGCATATGAGAAATTTTTATCCATATTAATTATTTGAATTTTAGATACACCATAGTTAAGATAGAAAATGAAAATTAACAAAAGTAACAATATGATTAAAAAAAAACTTAAATGCCAAATAATAATAATAATAATAATTGTTGTTGTTGTTGTTATCATCATCATCATCATCATCATCATCATCATTATTATTATTATTATTATTATTATTATTAAATTTTGTATTCCATTTCTTTCATAAATAAAAATAACTTATTTTAATAATTATTTTATTTAATATGATAAATATATAACATTAGAAATGTTCTCAAATGTTTTTGACAAAATTTTGTATATTTTCATTTTCGGTGTTCTATCTTTTCTTAAATATTTAATATTCAATTACGACATCTTGGGTTTGTTTGTAAAGTTGGTTCATTGACCCACCATCTAGATAAGAAATTAGCTTTGCTTTTGCATTAGTTTTAAATTAGAAAATTATAGTTAGAGTCAATTGTATATTTAAAATTAGGCTACAAGTTGGCCCAAAAACCAACAAAACTCTCTCTAACAACTGGCTCTATATTTCAAATTATAAAAACCCCGCCATATCATCGAAGGCTTATGTGGTTGTTTCCAACATGTGAATTAATCCATGTTGAACACAACAAAAAAGCTTATACCAAAATTGCTCTTTAATGTTGAGTGATTGGAAAATAAAAAAAGGGTTTTTAGTTTATCTCTCCCTCCCTCCCTCCCTCACTCACTCACTCTCTCTCTCTCTCTCATTCTCATAGTCATCTCTCTCTACTCAACGAAGTCAGTTGTACATTTAAAATTAGGCTACAGATTGGCTCAAAAACCAACAAAACTCTAACAACTGGCTCTACATTTCAAATTATAAAA